TCTAGTTCATTTCTAGTTCAGTTCTAGTCAGTTCTAGTTCAGTTCTAGTTCAGTTCTAGTTCAGTTCTAGTTCAGTTCTAGTTCAGTTCTAGTTCAGTTTCTAGTTCAGTTCTAGTTCAGTTCTAGTTCAGTTCTAGTTCAGTTTCTAGTTCAGTTCTAGTTCAGTTCTAGTTCAGTTCTAGTTCAGTTCTAGTTCAGTTCTAGTTCAGTTCTAGTTCAGTTCTAGTTCAGTTCTAGTTCAGTTCTAGTTCAGTTCTAGTTCAGTTCTAGTTCAGTTCTAGTTCATTCTAGTTCAGTTCTAGTCAGTTCTAGTTCAGTTCTAGTTCAGTTCTAGTTCAGTTCTAGTTCAGTTCTAGTTCAGTTCTAGTTCAGTTCTAGTTCAGTTCTAGTTCAGTTCTAGTTCAGTTCTAGTTCAGTTCTAGTTCAGTTCTAGTTCAGTTCTAGTTCAGTTCTAGTTCAGTTCTAGTTCAGTTCTAGTTCAGTTCTAGTTCAGTTCTAGTTCAGTTCTAGTTCAGTTCTAGTTCAGTTCTAGTTCAGTTCTAGTTCAGTTCTAGTTCAGTTCTAGTTCAGTTCTAGTTCAGTTCTAGTTCAGTTCTAGTTCAGTTCTAGTTCAGTTCTAGTTCAGTTCTAGTTCAGTTCTAGTTCAGTTCTAGTTCAGTTCTAGTTCAGTTCTAGTTCAGTTCTAGTTCAGTTCTAGTTCAGTTCTAGTTCAGTTCTAGTTCAGTTCTAGTTCAGTTCTAGTTCAGTTCTAGTTCAGTTCTAGTTCAGTTCTAGTTCAGTTCTAGTTCAGTTCTAGTTCAGTTCTAGTTCAGTTCTAGTTCAGTTCTAGTTCAGTTCTAGTTCAGTTCTAGTTCAGTTCTAGTTCAGTTCTAGTTCAGTTCTAGTTCAGTTCTAGTTCAGTTCTAGTTCAGTTCTAGTTCAGTTCTAGTTCAGTTCTAGTTCAGTTCTAGTTCAGTTCTAGTTCAGTTCTAGTTCAGTTCTAGTTCAGTTCTAGTTCAGTTCTAGTTCAGTTCTAGTTCAGTTCTAGTTCATTCTAGTTCTTCTAGTTCACTTCTAGTTCACTTCTAGTTCACTTCTAGTTCACTTCTAGTTCACTTCTAGTTCACTTCTAGTTCAGTTCTAGTTCTAGTTTAGTTTCGTAGGGTAAGCAAGTTGCTTTGAAATTCAACAAATCCAATGTAGTGCTTAACATATTCGCCTTTGTTTAAATCCAAAAAACCAAAAAAAAGTTACTATAAATATTTTTGAAAAATATTTGCAAATTTGTTGGTTATTTTTTTTTTTTTTTTTTTTTTGTATAGTAGTAGTTGTGTGATGCATTCATTCTCTTCACATAAAACACATAAATCTTTAAAATTTATTATTTTAATACGCATTGCGCTTAAAGTTAGTAACTGCTAACGGGAAATAATACTAAACAAAATTTGAAATTTGTTTTAAATACTTAAAAAATAAAAGAAAAAAATACACAAAGTTTTTACATAAATAACAAAATTTCATCTTGGCAAGCAATTAATAGTTTTGGAGTAAAATGTCAACAGATTTAAATTTTGAAAATTTGTGTCTGTTAAAATGTGATAGCTCTTAAGATGGAATTTAATCCATGATTTATGAAGCTTGCTGCTCTTTAATTGCCGAAAACAAAATTTATAGATTTTTAAGTAAAAATTTGGGGAATAGTAACCGAATAAATTAAAAAATAAATCATACCTGGATTAAATATATATTGAAATATATGTACATATATATGTATGATTATGTAGATATGCATATTTTTTAAAATATTTTAAGTAAGATTTTTTTATTGTATTTTTTATTAAATTTGTTTCACATTTTTTTTTAATTTGTAATAATTTATTATAGATATCAACATTATTTTACATATTTTATTTAAAGAAATAAAATATTTTTATTTATATTTAAACTACCGACGACCGTAAAATACTATTTACAATTTTTTTTTTTTTTTTCAAACTGATCTTAAGCTCATGATCAATGAAATTCTACTTGCCATAAACGTTAAACTAATAACTGAACTCTTTTTCTTAAAAATATTTTGAAAAATAACAACAAATAAGAAACCAATATGCACCTTAAAATATACAATTGACTTAATTTGGAGTCCAATAGACCATGAAAATTTGTAATTGTTTGTCTTATCTCTGAGGTAATCGGTAAACTATGTATAAAGAAACATATAAGAGAGTTATATACGGCTATACCGAATCTTATTTACCCACCATTGTAGAATGTATTGTAAATTTAAGGAGAATTTATTTTCTTACTCATTTCATAGTTTTATGCAGACCGATGATATTATTATTGCCAGCAGTCAAATTTAGGAAATAGCATCTTGCGTTTAGGCCAAATCTTTTCAACAGACAGATGGAAGGACATAACTAGATAGTCTTAGAATCCAAATAAGGAGACGAACAGTATTGCGTTACAAACGGAATGATAAAATCAATATGCTTATTAAAACTAAAATAAAAATGTCCAAACTAATTGTTATTGTAGTTTTAAATTAAATATGTAATTGTCTTAACTATAGAGTTGTATTATCGGGAAAAATTATTGTAGTTTGAATACCCGACGTAAGCGACCTCTGCATGTCAGTTTTATAATAAATTTATTATTACGAAATGGCAATACTTGCCGACTTTTTTTTATCAAATACACACACCAGAATTCTAAAGAACAGTGTTGTATTTAAAAACGTCATGGGTTCCCTAACTTTGGGTAAAAAATTCTCAAAAAAACAAAATATCCCAAGCGTGAATATTTTGGGAATTTTAAGTAAAACTTTTTTTCTTGGAGCAGCACTCAGGGGAAGACCTCTACTTATGCGAAGCATTGTGTTGGAACTAGGAAAATAGGTTGTGTTTGTGGACATTTTATTTAAATCTTCATACATCGAAAGATGCAGGTAATACTTTTGCAGGAAGTTAATTCCACATACTGAGACTGAAGAATACATTTTCGCTGTAGTGTGTTGTGCGTCCACTGGCCAATCTACCACAAGCGAATGTGTTCTTTAAGAAAGAATATACGGATATCGGAAACAAATTGCCTAATTTCAGAGGAACTAATTCCATTGTAGTATCGATAGAACAGTAAAATACAGCCCACGTTGCGACAGTGTTCCAGTGAATCAATAAAGTTGAATACCCTACTATCACACATAAGTATTTTCGCCATCTTCTGTACCAATTATGCACCGAAGTTGTGGAAGTTAATTCCACAAACTGAGGCTGAAGAATGAATTTTCCCTATAGTATGTTGTGCGTCCACTGGCCAAATCTTACTTAAAGACGTGTGTTTTGTAAGAATATACGGAAATCGGGAACAAGTGCCCTAATTTCATTATAGTATCGATAGAACAGTGAAATACATCCCACGTTGCGACGGTGCTGCAGTGAATCAATAAAGTTGGATACCCTACTATCACACATAAGTACCTTCGCCCTCTCCTGTACCAATTATGCACCGATCATCAAGTAAAATCCTTTATGATTTGTCTGCAGCACAAAGTTCTAGCTTAGAATATTGAAGCTAATAGTAGGTAGATATTAAAACATATAGAATTATCATTATAGGAATCTAATCTTTATAATGGATACAGACCGATCACAAATATGTTATTCTAATATTTATATCATCTTGATATCGATCAAATGATTATCAGATTCATTTTACCTTCAGTGAGACTATAATCATATTTAGCTAGTTCGTTCGCAATATTATTACCAGATACAGATACATATGTCAAAATTGCTTCATTCTGAAAAATCAGAATTAGCCTATTTGTCACATACAAATAATTATTTGCTTTTAGGTTCTGATTTGTGGATGTCGGTTGTATGTGAACTAAGAGTCTCAAAAACGAAGGAATCAAATGTTTGTATGACAACCCAAACTATGGTTTCATGGGTTGTAATAGAAATCTATGGCGGACAGACATCAAATATGAAATTGATTTGGATTAGATTAGATTTAAGTTGGGTTTTGTACTGATATTCCTTCCTATTATGAAGGTATAAAGGTAGAGGAAAATCGTGAAATTATTTTGAACCAAAAAATATAATGTCGACGGAACGACGTGAAGTTTGATTCCAGTATGGCCATTGATTAGTCTTGTCCGAATGTAGGCCCAAACTTAAGAATATTAAGTTATTCGCAAAGGTCGCGACGCGTCGGCCGAATAGTGATTAAAAGAAATCGTGAACCAATTCGAAAAGGTGTATCATTGAAAATACCTGTAGCCGGATCTATATATATATATGTATGTACATCAATTTCTAACATTACTGACTGATTGATTCATCATCGCACAAACCAAACGCTTGAAGTTAGGAAATTTTGAAAGCAGATTTGAAATTTTATGTGGTAAAACCTAGTGAAAACGGGTAAATTCGGTGACCTTATATCATAAAAGTACAAGAAATGATGAATACTCATTCAGGGTCCTTAGTAAGGAGTTTTTGGTAGTTTTTCGAAAACTTTTTGGTGCATTTTTGTTATTAACTGGAACTTTTTGGTTTTTCTACAATATTAAACCTAGATACATATAATCGGACATATAGTATCCTGATAAAATAAAAATCTCTAAAAGGGAACTCTTTGGTACTTCTATAAAGGGAGACTTTTGATTTTTTTAAGAATTAGATCTGGAATAATTTTCATAATGAATGGCACCTTCCAAATAAACTTCTAATTATTTCTAGAAGTAAAAAAAGTCTATTATTTTTGTAACAATTTTGGTCCCATTATCGATTTAGGGTTAACACACTTTAACAACTCTGGGCTGATAAAAAATGTAAACAAATACACAGCTGGCAAACACATTTTTTCCAATTTCTCTTTTCAAGCACATTCTGTGGTGGTGGTCTGGCTACAACAACAATGAAATGACAACCAACAACCATATGACGAAATGGAGAACGTGAGTACTGGGAAATAACACCCCACAAAACGTGATTCGACAAAGTAAACAACAAATATAATTGCGAGTAAATTGGGTCGAATGCCGGCAACTGGTGAATATTACTCTATGTACGTACAAAACTTGTGTGTACGTGCATTAAAGGACGTAAACTCAATTTTTCTATATACACACACATTTCTCTGGACAAGAAGAGCCCAGAGTGAGAATAAGTAAATAAACAATATGTGAATGAAAAAAATAAGTAAATAATACACAGAACTAGCTGTTTGTTAAAGATAGATTATGGAAGGAGAGGAAGTGGTGGTTTGTTTCTTCTGTTTTTGTTTCACATACATTTTGTGTTTGATTTTCGCGTCTTTTACGAAGTTAACGAATATACACACAAAGAGCATAGAGGCACAAGTGGTTGTTGTATGTGCTAGATGAGAGAATAACGAGTATAAAAACACGCTGTAGATGAGGAATTGCAATTATTCGTTCGAAAGCAATCAACTGATTCATACGTCAGTCAAAGAAAATCATAAGCAAAGCAAAGAACACAAGAAAAATTGTGTAATTGTCAAATAAGTCAGAATTTTAGAAGACATTAGTGAAAAAATAAAATATATTTTTTTAATCAAAAAAATATTTGTGTAAAACATTTTAATTTTCTTTTAAAACAATCAAGTTTTTTTAAAAAAATCTTAACAAAATGAGTCAAATTGTGAATATGGCTAAACAAACCCAACGTTTGGTGCCTCAGATTACTAAACAAGGTAAGTTTCCAAAAAAAATTTAATGGAAAATCTTTTAATTTAGAAAAATCCATAATAATCAATATTTTTCGTTATTCTATTGAGTACAAAATTTAATTGCTGGTTTTTTATGATATTTTACTTACAGTTGCCTGCTTCTCCACTTCCTCCGCTTGCCAGCAAGAATTCAAAGGTGAATTGAAACCCAAAAGTGCCCGTTTTGTGGAATTCCAAAAGAAATTGAGAGCCAAGACCCCCTTGGGTAAACTTGATGAATTTTCACGTCATCCCTTCCAAGAAGTCGAACCCTTGAGACCCTGGCCCAACAATGTCAATCCCCATACCGGTGAAATTGGTGGCCCTGCTGGTCCTGAACCCACCCGCTATGGTGATTGGGAACGTAAAGGACGCGTTTCCGATTTCTAGTCTCTTTTTCGTAACATCTTATAGCTTTAAACCATCCCCCATACACTAGACATTAGAGGCACTTTTTAACTGTTAGTTTGTACAAAAAAAACAAATTATTAGTATGTAAGCTGGCTGGGGGCTGCTGCTGCTTCTTCTTGGGTTTCTATTTCCTATTTAAATTGACCTTCAAGAGTAGCAGTTAGCTTTTTGCCTTAGGTTAATAATTTTTGCTTGTTTTGTTGTCTTTTTTACAACATTTTATTAGACTGTGTACTAAAAAAAGAAGAAAAAAATTAAAAAAAAAAAATTAACTCGAAAATATGAAAATAAACCAAAAAAATATAAAAAAATAAATATTTAAAATTTTATTAAAACAAAAATTTCTATGGCTTTTTATTAAACATCATCTACTAAGAGAAAAACAGTTAATTGGAATAAATTTGTGTAAAAAAAGTTTCAAATTCGAATCGCACAACTGTTTCTAATAAGAAGTTTAGTGGATCCAAGTATTTTTTAATTACTCATCTTTATTTGCAACAAAATTTACATAATTTGGGGTAAATTTATACAAAAACACGGCCTTGATTTAAACAGCTGATTGTTTTCTTAATTAAATTTTCTCTCAAACTCCAAATATATAAAGAGAGAGAGAGAGAAATAGAAAAAAAAAAACATTCTCTTCAACTCATTGTAAAAAGTTAAAATTTTGAAAACATGTTCGATTTTGAACAGTTATTTTTGAAAATTATTAAGTACTTTTTTTTAAATTAATAGGAAAGCTAATTTTCAAATTTATAAAACTACAAAAATATTTTCGATTTTCAAAATTTTTCAAAAATAAATTAAAACTCTTTTAAGTAACTGCAACTTCTTCGGGAATCAAAAATGTTTAAATCTTTATATGTTTTGGAAAAAATTTCGAATGCGAAAATTAATTTGCACTCTCAGAAATATTGAAATATATGAAACTTCAAAAAAGAATTAGAATTTAAAAATATTTCGAAAACATTGAAAAAACCCAGTTTCTTGCATGGAATCAAAGATTATTAAAATTACAATAATTAAAAAAAATCGAATTTGAAAACTATTCGAAACTTTATTTATGAATCTAAAGCATGTTTGATAGAATTATTGAAGATTTATATTCCAAAGATCTTCAGAAAGTTGTTTTCAACAAATATATGCACAGAAAAGCGGATATTGTTCTTAGAATTTTATTTCAAACAGTTTCGAAATTTTCGCATAACTTGAAAACCAGATTTATTTAATAATGAAAACAAAACCAAAAATATATAGACATAATACAATTTCGAATACAAATTCCATTTGAAACCCTTTAAAACCCCAACATAACAAACCATAACAAAATAAAAACAATACGCACTCCAAATGCAACACATGCAACTGCATTAAAACACTCTTACATTCAATAAAGAAACTCTCCTGTAGTTTGCTTCTTAGCTAATAATGATTCCTTTAAAACGGACAACATTCCTTCTGAAACCGACCACAGCTGGTTTTGTAGCATTTCGTTTTGTGAAAGTTTGCTGGGCTCACAGAAATAGCAATTATTAAAGTAAAGCCCTGTAAGGCCAGTAAGTTCATTGGCAGTAGCACAATAAATGGTAGTGGCAGCAGCCTGTTGCTACAAATATAACAACAAAAAAAGAAAAGAAAAATGCGGAAAAAAAATTACTTAAATATATTGAAAAGACAATGGGAAAGTAGTATTTAATAAGGAATGATGATACAATGATAATTAACATATGGCACAGATTTATTTTGTTGTTTGTGTATTCTTAATAAGATGATTCAATTACACAGGCCAACAAATGTTTAAACCAAAGACCAAAGTATACTTTTCTAAACAATTGAACAGCTCAGAATCCGATTTAAGTCTCAGGTTAAGGTAACTCAAAGAAGATACAGATAGATGACATAAATTTTATAAATAAAAATCAGCTCAATCATTTAGTAAATTACATTGTCAACCTGTGTTAATGTTATAGTTGTTGTTTAAATCGAATGCCTTGTGATGTTTTTGTTCATATTTTTTATAAAGTACCATGACTTTGTTCTTGAATATAGTTTCTTCTGATTTTTTCCCATTCTTTTTGCTTAAAACAACTGTTTAAATTAATGTTAATTTAACCAGCAATAGACTCATCACAAAAGAACAGATCAACAACAGCAGTAATATAACAATGATTTAAATTAATTAAATAACAAGACAATTGCTACAATAACAAAGAATTTTATTATGATGTTTTTTTGTTTTAATAATATTTACCAGAGATTTTGTAAATGGTCGCACGACGGCAAATAATAACGATAAAACCACCAATTGCGCGATATATTGAGGAAACTAAATTACCCGGGTGTACCGCAAAAACAGATATACCACGATGCTTCCAGAGCTGCAATAAAATAAAGCAAATGCAACAATCATAAATGGCCTAGTTCAGTTCAGTTCTAGTTCTAGTTCAGTTCTAGTTCAGTTCTAGTTCAGTTCTAGTTCAGTTCTAGTTCAGTTCTAGTTCAGTTCTAGTTCAGTTCTAGTTCAGTTCCAGTTCAGTTCTAGTTCAGTTCTAGTTCAGTTCTAGTTCAGTTCTAGTTCAGTTCTAGTTCAGTTCTAGTTCAGTTCTAGTTCAGTTCTAGTTCAGTTCTAGTTCAGTTCTAGTTCAGTTCTAGTTCAGTTCAGTTCAGTTCTAGTTCAGTTCTAGTTCAGTTCTAGTTCAGTTCTAGTTCAGTTCTAGTTCAGTTCTAGTTCAGTTCTAGTTCAGTTCTAGTTCAGTTCTAGTTCAGTTCTAGTTCAGTTCTAGTTCAGTTCTAGTTCAGTTCTAGTTCAGTTCTAGTTCAGTTCTAGTTCAGTTCTAGTTCAGTTCTAGTTCAGTTCTAGTTCAGTTCTAGTTCAGTTCTAGTTCAGTTCTAGTTCAGTTCTAGTTCAGTTCTAGTTCAGTTCTAGTTCAGTTCTAGTACAGTTCTAGTTCTAGTTCAGTTCTAGTCCAGTTCTAGTTCAGTTCTAGTTCAGTTCTAGTTCAGTTCTAGTTCAGTTCTAGTTCAGTTCTAGTTCAGTTCTAGTTCAGTTCTAGTTCAGTTCTAGTTCAGTTCTAGTTCAGTTCTAGTTCAGTTCTAGTTCAGTTCTAGTTCAGTTCTAGTTCAGTTCTAGTTCAGTTCAGTTCTAGTTCAGTTCTAGTTCAGTTCTAGTTCAGTTCTAGTTCAGTTCTAGTTCTGTTCTAGTTCAGTTCTAGTTCAGTTCTAGTTCAGTTCTAGTTCAGTTCTAGTTCAGTTCTAGTTCAGTTCTAGTTCAGTTCTAGTTCAGTTCTAGTTCAGTTCTAGTCCAGTTCTAGTTCAGTTCTAGTTCAGTTCTAGTTCAGTTCTAGTTCAGTTCTAGTTCAGTTCGTTCAGTTCTAGTTCAGTTCTAGTTCAGTTCTAGTTCAGTTCTAGTTCAGTTCTAGTTCAGTTCAGTTCTAGTTCAGTTCTAGTTCAGTTCTAGTTCAGTTCTAGTTCAGTTCTAGTTCAGTTCTAGTTCAGTTCTAGTTCAGTTCTAGTTCAGTTCTAGTTCAGTTCTAGTTCAGTTCTAGTTCAGTTCTAGTTCAGTTCTAGTTCAGTTCTAGTTCAGTTCTAGTTCAGTTCTAGTTCAGTTCTAGTTCAGTTCTAGTTCAGTTCTAGTTCAGTTCTAGTTCAGTTCTAGTTCAGTTCTAGTTCAGTTCTAGTTCAGTTCTAGTTCAGTTCTAGTTCAGTTCTAGTTCAGTTCTAGTTCAGTTCAGCAGTTCTAGTTCAGTTCTAGTCAGTTCTAGTTCAGTTCTAGTTCAGTTCTAGTCAGTTCTAGTTCAGTTCTAGTTCAGTTCTAGTTCAGTTCTAGTTCAGTTCTAGTTCAGTTCTAGTTCAGTTCTAGTTCAGTTCTAGTTCAGTTCTAGTTCAGTTCTAGTTCAGTTCTAGTTCAGTTCTAGTTCAGTTCTAGTTCAGTTTTCTCTTTCAGTTCTAGTTCAGTTCTAGTTCAGTTCTAGTTCAGTTCTAGTTCAGTTCTAGTTCAGTTCTAGTTCAGTTCTAGTTCAGTTCTAGTTCAGTTCTAGTTCAGTTCTAGTTCAGTTCTAGTTCAGTTCTAGTTCCGTTCAGTTCAGTTCTAGTTCAGTTCTAGTTCAGTTCTAGTTCAGTTCTAGTTCCGTTCTAGTCAGTTCTAGTTCAGTTCTAGTTCATTTCTAGTTCAGTTCTAGTTCAGTTCTAGTTCAGTTCTAGTTCAGTTCTAGTTCAGTTCTAGTTCAGTTCTAGTTCAGTTCTAGTTCAGTTCTAGTTCAGTTCTAGTTCAGTTCTAGTTCAGTTCTAGTTCAGTTCTAGTTCAGTTCTAGTTCAGTTCTAGTTCAGTTCTAGTTCAGTTCTAGTTCAGTTCTATTCAGTTCTAGTTCAGTTCTAGTTCAGTTCTAGTTCAGTTTAGTTCAGTTCTAGTTCAGTTTCTAGTTCAGTTCTAGTTCAGTTCTAGTTCAGTTTCTAGTTCAGTTCTAGTTCATTCTAGTTCAGTTCTAGTTCAGTTCTAGTTCAGTTCTAGTTCAGTTCTAGTTCGTTCTGTTCAGTTCTAGTTCAGTTCTAGTTCAAGTTCTAGTTTCAGTTCAGTTCAGTTCAGTTCAGTTCTAGTTCAGTTCTAGTTCAGTTCTAGTTCAGTTCTAGTTCAGTTCTAGTTCAGTTCTAGTTCAGTTCTAGTTCAGTTCTAGTTCAGTTCTAGTTCAGTTCTAGTTCAGTTCTAGTTTCAGTTCTAGTTCAGTTCTAGTTCAGTTCTAGTTCAGTTCTAGTTCAGTTCTAGTTCTAGTTCAGTTCTAGTTCAGTTCTAGTTCAGTTCTAGTTCAGTTCTAGTTCAGTTCTAGTTCAGTTCTAGTTCAGTTCTAGTTCAGTTCTAGTTCAGTTCTAGTTCAGTTCTAGTTCAGTTCTAGTTCAGTTCTAGTTCAGTTCTAGTTCAGTTCTAGTTCAGTTCTAGTTCAGTCTAGTCAGTTCTAGTTCAGTTCTAGTTCAGTTCTAGTTCAGTTCTAGTTCAGTTCTAGTTCAGTTCTAGTTCAGTTCTAGTTCAGTTCTAGTTCAGTTCTAGTTCAGTTCTAGTTCAGTTCTAGTTCAGTTCTA